CTTACTTGGATGTAGCCAGTGACTGAGACTGAGCTGATGGAGACCAACTGGCAAAACTCCTCCTCACCCCATTTTCTGTCTCATTCTCCTTCAGCCTTTCCTCTGTTTTCCCTCTGTGACATATACTCTTTAGGTCAGGCCTACATGATCCATTTGAATGGATTCCCTCTGGAAGCAGAGCCACAGTCTGTGTTAGATCCTTTAACACTGCAATTTGAGAGAAGGGACCTAGTTGCATGGATCTCTATGTTTAAAAGGCTCAGCTCTCGGGCTAGTATTTATCATGAGTTCCCACTCCCTCCCTTACGGTTGTACAACTAAGCTAGAAAAGAGAAGCAGCTCTAACAAGAAGAAATAGCAGTCCAGAACCTACAGCAAAGTTCAGTGGTGAGCTGGTCCCTCTCTTGAATCACTGCCTCAGGGAGGCAACAGTCATTCTCCTAGCTAAAGGGTGGGCATGCAAAGGCCCAGTATCATTACAAATGATACACAGAAGCTGGCAAGAACCAAAAGGTCTGCCTCACGTAAAGTACATTAGAAACAGATCATTGTATCCTACTTGGGATAGAAGAGAATTTTACCTGCCTCTAGGGAGGCTTTCTGGCAGCATCTCTGTGCCCCCTTTTGAAACATCTTTTCACAAAGTTTTTTGTTTTTTATTTGTTTTCTTTTGTTTTTTAATCAAACAGCCCATAATACTTCACAAATCTCAGGAGCTCTTCCCTGTACCTCTTAAAACTAGTGCATTTTAACATGGCACTATTTGAAACAGTAATACATTGCGGTACACTGGGGAAATTTCCAGGAGGATTTACACGGATCAATTAAAGCACAACACAACAGCATGCTTCAGAAATCACAGTTCCGTAGAATTCATGATTCCACATTGTAGACAAACCCTAATACTGCTCCATTTCTATCAGCAAGATCATTTCTGACACATTATCAGGTTGGTGTTTTGATTAGCTAAGTGTACTGCAGTGTTCAGAATTCGCTAGGATTGTTAAAGACCCTATTGTTTCAACTCGGCAAGCTTTGGGGCTGCGTCTGGTTTGGCAGATTTAGAATACTTTGCAGTGTTAACATTCTTAATGAGCAGTTTCTCCTCAGGGTGACAAATGCAGGGCTGGATTGGTTTCCTTAGGAAACAGCCAGCAGTCAAAATTATTTCTGACCATTAGACTTGAGGGCTATGAGCAATAGCTTCAGAAACTTGAAACTGAATTAGCATCAGGTCAGGCCTAGTCTACCGGACAAAGTCCCTGATAAAGGTCATCTTCTTCCCAAGGGATATTTCAGTTGTCGCTGAACTCCTGCAAGGACGCTGGCCTGTTTGGCTTGGAGTCAGAGGAAACTCTACATTCTTGAGTTTACTAGACTTGCTTGGCTCACTGTTTGGCATGATGCTCTTTAAGTGAAGTTGTGTTTCTGAACCATCATGAAGACATGCTGGGCATTCCTTGCCCTTTGCAAAGCTAAGAAGAAATAAAAAGACCAGTGTTCTCTCTAAGTACATAGAGCCCTGGTCCTCTGACTGGGCTGATTAATCACCTAAGAAGCTGTACTGCCATGCATCTTACAGGGAACACTGAAAGAGACAGGTCTCTAGTGCTGTCCTAGAGAATACTACCTAGGGGTCTGAGCTTAAAGCCCAATGGATTCAAGACAGAGTGCCATTAACTTCAGTAAGTTTTAAATAAAACTCCTAGACTAGGCTCTCTTTAAGGCTTCTTAGATTTGACACTAGCTGAAGATAGAACTAAATGTTTAAAAGTATATGGCCTTGATTTGTAAGCCCTAAGCAAAGCTGGTATGGATCCATGTGTATACACCATATACTAGCTATTTAAATGCTACATGATTACTATTTTCATTTCATTACATGTTCTAGTTATTAGCCACATTCCTACCAATTCAGGTTCAGGAATTCTTCTTAGGCCTGAAATTAGAATCAGCCTGGCCAGAGCCAAGATTTTGAGTGTAACTAATGGCTGGGGAGATAAAGGGAAGGGCTAAAGACAACAGAACTTGCCACCTTAATGGGGTTTTATTTGCAGAGAATGCTCAGCGCTTATGGAAAGAAAGGCTGTGTCTAAATTAGACACTTTGAAATTGCAAATGAAGCTGGGATTTAAATTTCTTGCATTTCATTTGCATAATGGCAGCTGCGGCTTTTTTCGGAACAGTGCTTTTTGAAAGAAATACGGCAGTTTAGAAAGGGATCTTTCAAAAAAACCCTTTTTCGAAAGATCCCATAAACCTCATTTTTTGAGGAGTACAGGATCTTTCGAAAAAGGGTTTTATTTTCCATCGATCCCTGTCTAAACAGCCGTTTTTCTTTCAAAAAGCCCTATTTTTTAAAAAAAATGCAGCTGCCATTATGCAAATGAAGCATGGGAAATTTAAATCCCGGCTTCACTTGCAATTTCAAAGTGTCTAATTTACATCCCTTTTTTGAGAAAAGGGATGTAATCTAGACACACCAAAGAGTTAGGCCCTTTGAAGGACTCATGTTGGGCTGCCAAAATTCCAGATGGTCAAAGCCACTAGTCAGTTTTGAAAGCCCTGGCTTACATGCAGACTTCTCATGGGGTGATTAGACACCGCAGTTCTCTTGGAAAACATCAACCTCAAACCGTTCAGTACTGATCTGACTTGGTTGCCCGGGTGAAAAGTGAGGGAACTGAATTCTCAAACAGCAGCTCACAAGAACTTGTTACTCCCCAAAATTAATCTAGTTTCTACATAGCACTTTCCATACTTTACAGATCTGTAAGGCCATAAAGTTTAATACTGTTAAAACTGCACTGCTAGCTCAGCAGGCAAACAGCAGCCAGAAAGCTCAAGAACATTGTAATTTATTTCTAATTTAAACAAAATAAAACCTACTCTGGGCTACAAATATACATGCTAAATACCAACCTGAAAAGAAAACAGCCACAGGAGTTTCAGACAAACCAATAACATTCCACTCTAGCGCTATATATGAAGCATCTCCATTCACTCCCACCACGCCAAAGGTGTGCAATTAAAAGGGTACAAAAGAAAACTGAGGCAAGACAAAGAGCCCATGCCATAGAGGAGGGGTGGGGAACCTTTTTTGGGTTGAGGGCAACTGACCCACAGAAAAATCAGTCAAGGGCCACACACAAATGAGAAGCAAAAAAACCTAAAACCCTCACTGACATGGCCCCCAAATGAGGAGAAAGACACTCCCCATATTCCCTTTGCCCACCAGAGCCTGGGAGGGAGTGGGGGGAAGCAGCCTAGTAGATGTTGTGTCCTCCAGCTCTGCAGTGGGGCAACAAGGGGGCTGGAACACCAGTGCAGGCTCCCCAGTGCTGGAGGGGGCCCCCCGGGGCTTTGGGCACCCATATCCAGGTGAGCCAGGGGCCACATTTGGCCCCCGGGCCTGAGGCTCCCCACCACTGGCTTAGAGATCGATTTATCATGTCTAAGCAGACAGGCTAGGCCAAGGCAGTGATTGCTTTTACTGAATTGCCTTCACATAGGGTTGCCAGACAGTTGAAACAAAAATACCAACCCCCTCCCCGCCCCCCCAAAAATGGGGAAAAATTCTGTGGAAGGGGAAAAAAGGGGGGGGGGGGAGGCCAAAGTTGTTGAGGAAAAAAAAAAAAGACTCCAAGTAAGCATGTAGATCACATCTTCACAGAGTTTGTCTTACTGACCACTTTCTCTTTGTCATGATCTCCTAACATCCCCAGAGCAACTACACTATGATTTTATGTAGGAAAATAACACTTAACAATATTTCTGAACTACGCAACTTTGGGGAACCAGGTAAGCATGGGGG